TGGCAACTTGCTTGAACCACACCCTCACCGTCTCGTGGCCCGCCTCCTGCCAGTTATGGCGCAGCTCCATCACAACCAAATTGGAGCGCATGCCCACCGGCGCCATGAGAACCATATCGACGTCACTCGGAGTGAGCTGAAACTCGGGGTCAGCCGCCAAATCGAAGTGACAGAGGTCGCCATAGCGAACATATGTGCTGATCAAGGCGTTTCCACACGGCAAGGCAGGGGCCGCCATCTCGGAAGCAGAGCGGACCTCGAGACGCAAAAATGAAGGTGCTAGCGACGTATGTCGCTGCAAGACTGAGCCCAAGTGGCATGTGTACGAGCAGAGTGAAAGCAATCACGAGCAGCCGGACAAGAGCAGGATACAGTGCGTTTTTACTCGCAAGAGAGAACTGCCGGAACTCCAGGTCACGGTGGCGGGCCACCGAGCCCGATTAAAAAAAACCCTAGCAGGCCTTAAGCCTCGTGTTCCTCACTCGGTGCCCTCGCGGATGAAGGCCTGGTAGCCGTGCCACATGGCTGCGTCATGTCTCGTGTGGGAGACGGCATCCTCACCCCGGGGATCATCAGGCAGGAACTTCACCCACGCACGGCGAATGCGCCCTTCGAAGACCACACAGTTCGCTCCCCGCTGTGACGCCAGGGTCAGCGCGAAAGTGACAAAGAGTGGGTCGATATCCAAGAGGTAAACTGGAACATGTCAAAGCCTGGAATATTGACGTGGGCAGGCATCTCAGTCCACAAGCCAGCCATGATGCTGAGCGAAGAAGGGACGCTGGGGGGATTACAAAATGTACATCGACGTATGTCGACGTGCTGGCAGCCCGCACGGCAGACGCACGTTCGAACAACATGGTGGACAAAATGCCGTTGCCACAAGCGACCCGCACACCTTTTTTGGGGCGGAATCCCGAGCTGCGGCGTGAAGAGAAGGGTAAAACCTGAGGCCCGTGCAACGACAGCGAGACAGTGAGTGACCCACCAATACGATGCACCGGCGACGGCCTGAGGTAGCAGGGGAAGAAGGAAGCCAAGAGACCGCTCCCAAACTCGGGAAAGAAGGCGGACACTTGTTTGCACTACCGCGAGAAGATCGAGAGCCTCGTGATGAACACGGACAACCAAGACGGGCGAGCCATGTCAGGGCTCACACTGCCATTGTCGAAAAACATAGCTACAGCCTAGCAAATGTTTGCTGTGCCCTAGTCCGGCTGCATTAAGCCGGCCGCGATCGCTTCCGCCTGGTCTTCGGCTTGGGTGCGGGGAGGGCAGGCAGATTCTCGGAGCCAGTGCCCTCCTCCGCAAGGACATCCGTAGGGCGGGCCAGCCGCGAAGCTCCCCTCAAAGTCACTGGCCGCAGAGCGCTCCCCGCCTGAGAGCCGGCCCCGGCGCCCACTTCCACGCAAGCGGACCGAGCGCCTCGAGCCCGACTCGGAAGCGGCCTCCACCGACACAGGTTCAGCGGACCGCGAAGTGGCTGGTGGAGATCCCCGTACACGCGGCTCCCGCGCCTCAAGACCAGCACCATCGTCAAGCTCCTCTGCTGCCGAACCCTCGTCGGCTAAGTCTTGACTCACACATACAGTCCAGGGGTGCTCGCCTTCTCGCAGCGCAAGTGGGCGGATGTAGATGGCCATAGACCCCTGAGTAACCGCATCGGGCTCGACGCGAGTGACAGCCAGGTTCATGTGAATGCCTCTTCTCGCCAGGGCATCGGCGACCGCACAGGAAACTTCTTGGGAGACGATGCGGTTGTACATGTCAACTGACTCCCTATAGACGCGCTCTCCGGGCGGCTCATTGACTGGTACAGGCGCCGGGGGGCCGTGAGGCGGCCACCAGGGACCAGCGCGGTGATAAACCGTGGGCTCTCCTTCCGACTCCGGCTCGGAAGGGAGCTCAGCAAGATTGACAGCAAGGGCACGACGTCCGGTGCGCCCGGCCCAACCGTCGGCGCGGGAGGTGCCGCCATGCGGCAATGAAAAAGGCAAGCGACGTATGTCGCAAGCTAACCTCCTGTCACCTAGCCTTCAGGCGGCAGCGACGCAACGCTGGCTGGACTGGCGTAATACAACAAGCAAGGCTCAGGTAGCGACAGTCAGGTTGGGCACACTGGAGAAGAGCCACCACCAGATAGCTCGAGCGGCCGGGACCTGACAGCACCACTCGCCGAGGGCGGACCGAGCAATGGCGGCACCTCCCTGAGATGGCCACCGTCGGTGCCCACCTGCGGTCCAAAGGGGTCGAGCAGCAAACTGCCGCTACCCGGTGCAGAAAGGGGCTAGGCATCTCCCAAGACGTGCCAATAGCATCACCTGGCGGGCAAGGCATGTCAGTCGCACAGGATGCGGGCTAAGGTATAAACTCTGCCGCCGCTGACCTCGCAGCGCGAGCAACATGCCGATAATCAGTTGCAAAATAAGCAGATGACGTATGTCAGCCGCGGCGGGAGCAAGCGATAGCGTGGGCACTCCCCACAGCTCGCCCTAGGTCCCCAGCCAGTGGCGGCCAGCCCACTCACTGAGCAGCAAACCTTAATGTGCTGATCAAGGCGTTACCACACCAAAGGCGAGGCAGGGGCCGCCATCTCGGAAGCAGAGCGGACCTCGAGACGCAAAAATGAAGCTAGCGACGTAAGTCGCTACAGACTGAGCCCAAGTGGCATATGTACGAGCAGAGGGAGAGCAATCACGAGCAGCCGGACAGGAGCAGAATGCAGTGCTTTTTTACTCGCAAGAGAAAACTGCCGGAGCTCCAGGTCACGATGGCGGACCACTGAGCCCGATTAAAACCCCTAGCAGGCCTTGAGCCTCGTGTCCCTCACTCGGTGCCCCCGCGGATGAAGGCCTGATAGCCGTGCCACATGGCTGCGTCATGTCTCATGTGGGAGACGGCGTCCTCACCCCGGGGATCATCAGGCAGGAACTTCACCCACGCACGGCGCATGCGCCCTTCGAAGACCACACAGTTCGCTCCCCGCTGTGACGCCAGGGTCGGCGCGAAAGTGACAAAGAGTGGGTCGATATCCATCGAAGAGGTAAACTGGAACATGCCAAAGCCTGGAATATTGACGTGGGCAGGCATCTCAGTCCACAAACCAGCCATGATGCTGGGCGAAGAAGGGACGCTGGGGGGATGACAAAATGTACATCGACGTATGTCGACGTGCTGGCAGCCCGCACGACAGACGCACGTTCGAACAACATGGTGGACAAAATGTCGTTGCCACAAGCGACTCGCACACCTTTTTTTTGTGGTGGATGACAGTCTCGCTCTCAGCGCCCTGCTGCCTCCGACCGCCGGGCATTGGCGCAAAAAGCGGTCTTCTCGCATTGGCCGACAGCCAGCGACCACGTGCAATCCCGAGCTGCGGCGTGAAGAGAAGGGTAAACCCTGAGGCCCGTGCAACGACAGCATGACAGTGAGTGACCCTCCAATACGATGCACCGGCGACGGCAGTCAGGTTAGGCACACTGCAGAAGAGCCACCACCTGATAGCTCGAGCCGCCACGACCTGACAGCACCACTCGCCGAGGGCGGACCGAGCAATGGCGGCACCTTCCTGAGATGGCCACCGTCGGTGCCCACCTGCTTCAATGGAGTCGAGGAGCAAACTGCCGCTACTCGGTGCCGAAGGGGCTAGGCATCTCCCAAGGCGTGCCAATAGCATCACCTGGCGAGCATGTCAGTCGCACAGGATGCGGGCTAAGGTATAAACTCTGCTGCCGCTGACCGCAGCGCGAGCAACATGCCGATAATCAATTGCAAAATAAGCAGAGTATGTCAGCCGCGACGGAAGCAAGCGATAGCGTGGGCACTCCCCACAGCGCGCCCTGGGTTCCCAGCCAGTGGCGGCCAGCCCGGAGAGCATCGGAGGGCTAGCCACTGTTGGTCGATCACGCGCGAGGGGTGTAGTGGCGGCTACGAGTGAATGTGTAAGGACGCTCCCAGCTGCAGCCGGACACACCATGATCCCTGCAGTTCCAAGAACATGTCCGGCAGGGGCTTTCTAACTGCAGTGAGCCCCTCCGTGAGGACGCCGGTCGACTGGCCATCGTCCTGGCACTTCGGACTGCAAAGGATGCGGCCTGCCCCCTGAGCCACCAGACGCCTGCTGGGCAGGTCCCGAAGGCCTTGCCGGCACCAACACAGCAGGTGCAGTCGGCACACTCGTCTCGCCGCTGGGGAGACCTGATGGACGAGAGAGCCTCCGACATAGAGACACCTTCGGGAGCGGCTGCGTCCGAGACCTTGCTTTGCCGTCCTGTTCCTTCCCTAGGGGGCTTGCTTGCTGCGAATCCGCCCTTCTATCGGTGCTCCAGGTTGGGCCGTATATCGCGGCGCCATGACTACTGAAATATCCAGTGAGCTGGGCCCTTCCCGCCAGCCGCTCTACGAGCAGGAAGTTTTCTGCCCGTGTTCACTTGTTAAACTCGCAGAAGATCTCCTGACCAAAGGGCCCACAAAAAGGAAAAACACCAAAACGAAGAAGCTTGAAACTCACAAAACCAAAAATCCTCTTGTATCCAAGGCACCCCAAACTGACGGCACATCGCGACGTCGTTGTTGGTCTGTCGCTTCGCTCGTGAGCCCCTCCGAAGTGGACTCTCAACTGAAGCTCCGATTTCCAGCTGCCCAGCTCTTGCTGACGGTTAACGTTCCTAAGTTGGCTTCAGAATCACTGTAGTTTATCTTCCTCATAACAAGCAAAAGCGGACGATCCAAACAATGCAGGAAAATGATTTCTGTACTGTGTGCAAACAAAAGCATCCAAGATTCCTCAGAACTCTCGTCCGCTGCCGGAAAACCTTCTCGATCGACCACGAGGTCCTGAACTTCTTCTTGAGGTCCTCCGACAACCACTTGTACACGCTCTTGACATGAGGGTCCTTGTCCAAGGCCCGGTTCAATGCCTGGCCTGCTGCCCCTGGAGTTGGTCCACGTCCAGCCCAAAACTGCTCCAATGTCATTTTTGCGTCACGCTTTTCGTGCCCATGCTACCGTGTTTGCGCGGAGAGCGTACTGCTGTGTTCAACAGGTTCCTTGTCAGCTCGACGCAGGAGGAAGAGTGGCAGGAGGTAGCCAGCCAGATGGACAGCTTGCCTACTTACGAGACGGAGGCATATCAGTCGCAAGCACGCAGAAAGTATGCTGCAGCGAAGGGTGTGCCGTTCGAGGCCGTCACGCTGAAGGTGGAGGACTTGGAGGGTCGAGGACGACAAGGATGCAAAGGCAACCAACCGCAAGCCGAACAAGCGAAAGGTCCCCAAGGACTTCGAGGAGGCTCCGGACGAGGATGCTAAGACGACTGAGAAGGACAAGAAGGGCAAGACCGAGAAGGACAATAAGAAGGAACCCGCCAAACCCAAGGCAAAGGCCAAGGCAAAGCAGGAGGGCACGGTCAAGGAGGCAGAGACCGCCGCCAGGACGGCGGTGCTGCAGATCCAACGTGCTTCGCAGACCGTGGAGAGGTTGCAAGCGGCCCTGCATGGCGAGTGGGCAGCCCCGCTCATGAAGGAGTTTGACTCCCTGCAGGCGGCCTTGAAGATGCAGGTCACGCCCACGGACGGGGACGGCCGAGGCATGGCTGCACATCACCACATATCAGTACCAAATCGATGGCACTGCAAGTGGATCCTACCTGCCAGCAAAAACTCTCAGACAGACGAAAAGGAGCCGCCTAGGTCCCTGTCGCTCCGGGTCCTCTTCTTCAGAGCCGACTTCCTGGAACCCTTGGGGTTGGCGTCGGCCTCCATCGAAACGGCTTTGAACATGTTGTCCATCTTGTTGGCGAGGTCCAGCATCCTGGGCTGATAGCGAAAACACGAAACAATGGTCACCATGCACAAACGTTCAATCACAAAAGCAAACATGAATCTAGCCAAGTCACTGCTGGGCAGCACCTTGGCATCGATCTTTGAACATGGTGAGCAGCGGGAGGTAGCGATCCTTGTAGTCCTTCTTCAAGGTCTTGGTGCTGCTGGCACCGGTTCCCGAAAACACAGCAAGCTGACCAAAGCAGGGGAGCTTTCTCGGAAACATGTTCAGTAGCACAACAAACAGAAACCAAGGCATGGTTGCACATGTGTCGCCTGGGAGGGGAGAACCTAGGCTGAATGCTTGAAAAAAGAGTGCCCGCAGCTGTCATTCCAAGGTCTAAAATGCTTGTTCATTAAGGTATAGAAGCAGAGAATGTGAAGCCAAGCATGTAGTCACAATTGCAGTTGAAATAGGTCCATGGACTCGAGATGCGGAAACGTGCTGTAGCCCAAGTACAACAGGAAGATGAGGGTTCAGGGCCGACGCCGGACCAGGTGCTTGCAGGCCAGCAGCTACGAATGTTCTTGCTTGATAGGTTTTGCACAGGATCCTTACCTGGATCGGATGTGGCAGAATTGTGTCACTATGTGACACGAGCTGGAGGTACTGGTGTGGCTACTTGGGCCCTGAATCCCGAGCAAGCCGCTCGTCACGGGTTTGAGCATATCAAATTACATGCTGGAAAAGAATATCCTGAACCGGATCTTGACTACGTGACTGTGCCTTTGTTCGAGAAACGGCAGTCTCGACGAGTGGCAGAAAAAGTGCCCATCATGCTTCCTTCGACACTCTTTAGAAAGTTCGTGGAGGTGCCCTCGGCACAAAGCAAGGACGAAATCAACTTCCGAAAGATGCTTCAGAAATTGCCCTGCTACGACAATCACCCTGTTGTTCAAAGGGCCCGAGCTGCTGGAAACACGGAACTTGTCCGGCCCATCGCTCTTTACTGGGATGGGGTCCGCTACTCGGTGCACGATTCTTTCACTGGCTTCTACGTGACTGATATCTTATCCGAGCAGAAGTTCGTTTCCTTTCTGCTTCGCCCCTCCGCTAAACAAGCACATCCATTGTTTGGTTCTTTGATGGTTGAGTCGCATATGAAATCCTTGTAGATTGTAAACCTTACCATGGAGTTTGGGCTTACCTTACATATGGGTGATTCTGAAAATGGGGGACCCAAATAGAGTACCCTAAATAATCGGACCCTTATGATAAAGCCCCGAAACTACTGCAACCAAGCCCGGCATTCGCCGGAGCTTCTGAATAGAGTAAAGCACCGAAACTAATGCACTCAAGCCCGGCCTTCGCCGGAGGTTCTGAAGACATGTGCCGCTGCGGCTGTCGCGGCTGGTGCACCATCTTCCCGCTGCTAGATGCCTGGGTGCAAGATCTGGAGAAGCTGCAAGCATCACTGAAGTATTGTGTGCTTGACATCCAGTGCGATTGGCCGGCTTATTTGGAAATCATAGGGGGCAGATTCTGGAATCACAACAGCCACCCGTGTGCCCTTTGCCGTATTTCGCAAGATGACATGACTGCCGACAATGTGCACAGCATTACCCTGGACAATGTGGGCCACTTGGGGTACTCGTCGGAAGACTACAACAACAACATCGGCATGTTCACCAGGGTGAATAAGCTTCCAATACGGGGGTTAATTTCCGAAGATAGGGGCACCTTATTCTGGGGTCTTTCTCACAAGGATCCTATTATTTAGGGTACTCTATTTGGGTCGCCAATTCTCACAAGCACCCATATGTAAGGTAAACCCAAACCGTTAAAAGCCTAATCCCTGAAAGCCCAGCTTTAAGCAGTAGCTTCATCTTTTTGGGTTGATTTTCTTTTCGTATGTCGAAACCGGATCGAGCCCACCTGAAAGGAAATTCTTGTGGATACGGCGGAGATGCTGCGAACGATTGCCAGAAATCTTGAATACAGCCGACTAGATCGTGGACGACATCTCACTGCAGACTTGCCCCGTTCAAAAACGAAACGCATTTTGCATTCCCCCCAAAAGCAAAGCACAAAAGTTCCAGTAGCGTGCTCACAGGAAATCGGTATATATCAAAAACAATCTCGAAACGCATAAGTATCAAAGTGTAACCAAATGTGATTCCAATCCAATATAAAATACATCACATACCGAACTCGCTCCACTCGCCCTATGTTTTGTGCAGTGGCGGAAATCGCAGATGTAAGATCTGAAAGCATCTGGAATCTCGGTTTAGTCAAGGCCCCATTGGGACCCAGAGAAACCAGGAAACCTCCTGGAGGGACTTTGTCCCCGAAGAAAAACGCCAGCGAATGGTCCAGAGACATTCGTCCAGAATCGACCGCAACGACGTGTGGTCCGCGGAAGACATAAGACTAGCTGTACCTATACGCAAACGCAGCTGCAAGATGCATATTGAGAGCCGGCTCCCAAAATAGGGAGTGGAGGGTGGGCAAATCAAAAACGCAACAGCTCTCTCGTGAGCCGGCTTCGCTGCGGCATCCGATAAAGATGCGAAAAAGGGCTCCAAGAAAACATGACATGCCGCATGCAGAAAAGGACGGAATACAAAATCGCGCCGGGCCCGCAGGCAAAAGCAAAATGGTTTGATATTTAAACAGGATCGAGTAAACACGATAACCGTTCAAAAACGAAACGCATTTTGCATTCCCCCCAAAAGCAAAGCACAAAAGTTCCAGTAGCGTGCTCACAGGAAATCGGTATATATCAAAAACAATCTCGAAACCGATAAGTATCAAAGTGTAACCAAATGTGATTCCAATCCAATATAAAATACATCACATACCGAACTCGCTCCACTCGCCCTATGTTTTGTGCAGTGGCGGAAATCGCAGATGTAAGATCTGAAAGCATCTGGAATCTCGGTTTAGTCAAGGCCCAAACAGCAACTGCCACAGCACAGAAACATAGGTGGAGGAATCGCCATGCACGCCCCACAATTAAGTGAGACGAACACCTATGGAAAAGAGGGTGCAAGCATTCAGATTTCAGGAATCGTTCAGGCGCTCTGATCAGATCTCAACGCGGCAGCTTCCAAAGCAGCTTGGCATCGGCTGGGAAAAGCCGCACATCATGACGTAGATCGAAGAAATCCGCGACTGTGAAGCGGTATCTGAAGTCGGGATTCCATGGTGCAGGCAAGGGGCTGACACCATCCCACCTGGACAGGAAATCAGCGTCAATGTTACGTTCACCCGCGATGTGTTGCACATCCAGACTGATCCCCATGCGAGTGCTTATCATCGCGACCAGTTGGGTAAAGAAACAAAGAGGCGACTTCGTCGTCAGAAGCTTCGCACATATAGACTCCGCACCAGAATTGTCGCAGAACGATGGAACGCAAATTCTCATACGCCCGCCTGGGCACAGGTGCCCAAAGAGAAGCATGAGGCCCACTTGAGCCAATGTTTCCCAGCATGAGATGTCCTTCTGCGATTCAGAATGCAGCGGAAGTTCCAAGTACTTAAAGTCGGCCAGATCGTAACGCTCGGAGAACCACAAGGAATCCGAGCCCGGCAACGTGATGAAGCCGCCAACGCCGATCGAAGTACCCTGAGCACAAGCGTCAGCAGCCATAGTAGCATCAAGAGAGCGCTGAGGAAGCATCAAACATTCGTGAAATTGATGTGAGCCGCACCAATCAAACCAGAATTGCAAAAGGCGCCTGCTCAGCACAGATAAGCGCCGAAAGCGAGATTGAGGATCCGCAATCCTCATCCATACCCGCTTGGAGGTGAGCGGAACTTTGGCCAAATCCGATTTTTTCCACAGTTCGATGTGCCGAGCACTCAGCAGCTTAGAGCCCACTGGGATAGCCGTGCCAGCTGGAGTGGAGATGAAAACCATCGCATCTGACAAGCAAGGAGCCAACGATCCCCACCGAGATGGCTCAATAGAAAAGGACGTCCCCGGCGGCCTCGAAATGTCATCGTACAAAGAAGAAAGCCAAGGACGAAGCTCCTTGTGAAGTTGCGTGATCCATTGAAGAAGGCCCAAAGCTAAGCTTGTTGGATCAGCTTCAGCTCCACTCGGCCCGCCACCAGAAGGGGATTCAGTAGGCCGCGTAATTTCTCCCTTTTAGACTGCGGAACCCGAACTGTCCCAGCCCGATAAGATAACTGCCAGCCTATCCAAAGACAGTCCGAACCCAGTTGTAATTTAGGCCAAGACAACCTGATACCGAAAGCTGCTGCAAAGGCGAGAAGCAGACAAGCTGAGATGTCTAAGGCACCGGAGGCCATGGCTAATATCAAATCGTCCACGTACATGGACATGAAGTGAGCCAAGAACACCAGAAGATGCCATGTTCGCATAAAGAAACCGGAAAGACGCTGCCACCAGTAGGCTGAGCAGCTCATGCCAAAAGGCATGACCCTATAGAAATAGGTCTTGCCGTTGCAGGTGATTCCAGATAAACCACGGTCCCGCTCCTGCATGAGAATGGACTTGTGCGCCGACTTAATATCTAAACTGAAAGAGCGAAGCTCGGATACCTGCCCTCGAAGAGGATAGCTGGATTGCAAGTCGCCCAGGCCCGGCAAGTTGTAACGTTCCGGAATGTGGCAAGCCGGGTTCACGCCAGAAATTGTTTCATCAACCGTCAAGCGAGGGTACACTAGCTAGCGTATCCTCCCGCCACCTCCCTCTACACCTCCGGGGAGTACGTAGCAAGCCTAGCTTAAGCTAGCTGGCTTCACGCAGTAGCACGGACAACACGAACTTCTCTCTTTTTAGCGTTGTGGCGAAGTCCCGCGTTAGCCCGGAGAAGAACTCTAGCCTTTGGCTAGCTAATCTCCAGGGTGGGTTGGGTGGGCACTCGAAATTTGCCCCCCAATAGCTGGGGGCCTTTCAGCACAATGGCCACGGAGTAGCACTGCTTCACCGGCCATGTGCAGGCACTCTAGCAAACAGACAAGCTTCGTTCTGTTTAGCTTCAGAGGAAAACCCCTTCGACGTTTTCTAGCGAAACACCTTCGATGTT